TTTCGTGTTTCGTTTTATTTTAGCCAGGAAAATGTAAGGAATATATAAAAATAAATAATTTCACTTGAATAGAAAGGATCCTTTCTTTTGGCATATAGAGAGACTTTACTGTGTTTCGTTTTCTCACAAGCACTCGACCGACCATCTATTCCTATATACAGGGTGTTTTTTTAAACTGGACTCTTTGGAATATCTCAGGAGGGACTGAAGGTATCAAAAAAATGTTTCAACAAATAGTGTTAGGTACGAAGGGGGACATAATGCAGCAGAATTATTTTTTTAATATCTGCAGTAGTGGTGGAGATTTCAAGGTCAAGTGTACTTTTTTCAATGGAATGTTATATTTTTTTTCGTGATATTATAGCTCTTTTTGAGATGAATTCAACGAGGTAGTATACGATGACAATCGCTAGAAAAATTTTCACTTCATTAAGTAATTTCTGGAAGACTATGAATTACCACTTAATTTGGAATCATTTATTGATTTGTTCTGGTTATTAACCATCCCCGCGTAGAAGAACTATTTCTATTCTTTCTTGAATAGTTAACAGCATCTTTCATGTAATTTTTTAATAACAACCAATCTTAAACTATTGTTCCACTACGAAAATATTTTAGTACCACCAAAGTAATGTTCAACTACGAAAATATTGTAATGACACCAAAGTAATGTTACACTATTAAAATGTTATAATGTCACAAAAGTAACGTTTTACTGTACAAATATTAGAATGTCACCAAAGTACCACACGAACATATTTATTAATTTTGTAAAACGTTTGTAAACTACCTGCATATTTGTTACTCCCTACGTTTCCGAACGTTGGTACGAATTTTTCCACAATTAAAAAGAACTTTTCTAACAATTGAATGGTCTGATTTCCATTAGTGGCACGGTCAAGCAGGGTTTAGCTAGCCCCAGGCGAGCACCCCGATTTTTTATGTTGTTAGAACCTTCCATAAAATGAAATGTCATCGTATACTACCTCGTTGCATTCGTCTCAAAAACAGCTATAACATCACAAAAGAAAATATTGCATTCCGTTGAAAAAAGCACACTTGACCTTGAAATCTCCCCCACTACTGAAGATATTAAAAAAATAATTCTGCTGCATCATGTCCCCCTTCGCACCTAACAATATTTGTTCAAACATTTTTTTGATATTTTCAGTCCCTTCTGAGATATTCCAAAGAATCCAGTTAAAAAAAGACATCCCGTATACACTCCTCGACTTGCCTTACTGATGAGTCCATTAGTAGGTTCAGGACAAAACAACGCTCTCCTTTTCTTTTCTCACTTCATCCTACAACAGCAAATCACCACAACATAATATATTATTAAGCGTTTGAGTATGTGGCGCTGCTTTTTGCCGATGGTCAAGGAAACTACCCTTCGTAAGAGGGTAGAAAAGGAAAGAAGAGGGGAACGTTTCGTCAGGGCCTGCTAGTGGACTCATCAGTAAAGCTTTTTAGCAAGCCTTGAATATTAGATAGTCGTCGAGCGCTTGTGAGAGCGTGACCTCTCTGGTGGCGAGTATGGGAGGTGACGCCACAAGTATATTCGATCGTTTTAGGATTCAAAACACGTATCTAATTTGTCAGAAGCAGAGAGATACTCCGCTATAGGAATAGAACTGTTTTAATCTTTTCTAATTAAATAAAAATAAATTTCTACAAAGCATGTGACATTTCAGACATAAAATTTTGAGATCCTTTGGTGGAAAGGATTGCGACACGGTAAAATTTTTTGTGGCGCGGATCACAGTGCCGGATTGGCTGTGCTTTTCGATATAATACGCGAGAGGCGGGAGCAATATCTCGCCAAAGTCGATACAAACGCGTGAACGGGAGAAGGTGAACCAGATCTCACAGGCGGTTGACGGAAATCGAAAATCGCAACGAATTGGAAAACAAGGACGTGTTTCACTACACTTTCGGGCAGGTATACAGAATGCCCGATAAAAGAAAAAAGAAAGGATTGGGAAAAGAGAGAAATGCTAGGCATCGTCCCATAAGAACGTCTAAAAATAATACCGTGGAAAAGAAAACGTTAACAAGAACAATTCCTGTCACAAGTTGATAGAAAATATTGGCTCTTAACGTCACGAAGTGCTATGAAAGAAGAAAAATGTTTGGCCATTGCATGAAAAGCCGTGCGTTACAAAATATGTGGCAGACATATGGGCGTACGATTTACTACTCGTAGCGCTAGAAATGGTGCAGGCATCTCTGATTGGCTGACGCATTGTTCCATATCGGGCCTGAGAACACGGGGTTTAAATGTCAGAGCCCAATAGCCTCGAAGATTCAGAATATTTTCACCAAAAGAAGTTTCTAAAGTTATTTTATGCCTTTACGCCTATTAACCCGGGTATTTTAATAACACGAGACTTTTTATTTGACTTTCGAATAAGAACCGGGCTGATTCGATTAAAGTTTTGAAATTTCTTCCTACACATAAAAGTCGATATTCCCCGTGGCCTCAATTAACGAAGTTTCTTCGCCCGCCGTTGTTTCATTTGTCTTAAATCAAAAGAGACCACGAAGTTAGCGCCGTCTTGGAGTCCGTTCAACTAGATCTAGTTCCGAACTCGGTGCTTTTTGTCGGCGTATGAAAAAAGAAGCGACTAAACCCGACGAAAGTCCTCAAGGTGGGTGAAAATCGCCGTGCAACCAGGCAACTCGATGCACATCATTGGCGCAGTGCCAAATTCTTGCCCGACTACACACTCGCCTAATCCTCTTTTCGTTGGCGACAAAATTACATTCCGTTCTTCTTTCCTTACGACGGAGTTACCGATAATGCGTTTCTAATGTTTTTATATTAAACTTTGTTTCTATTTAATAATTCTATTTAATCTTACTATTATTATTAAAAACAATTAACGATACAGGGGATTAAAATGGATGTTATTTTTCATTTCGTATGCACCAACCTAATTACAGTTACATTTTCCACCGTCGAAAGTACTGAGAAAGTTTGCAGTCTCTTCTTGGTTCCTACTCAATTCGAAACATAGGTACGATTTAATCAAGTTTACTCTTTTATTCGGAAACTTCGCGATAAAGCAGCACTGATTGATCAAATTGTCAACGTAGGTTTTCTTATAAAAATACAACGGAATCCAATAAATTATAAATCGACGAATTATGAAAATCTCGCGCGTACGATGCATATCCGGTTGCATTTCCAATTTCGAGTTTTGATTACGCGAAAGGAAACGATGCCCGAGAAATCGATGCGAGGACAACTTCTTCGAGCCGTCGCGTACTCGAGTTCAAGACTTCTTCTATCTCGTTGAAAATAAGACAGCTGGTACCGAAGGATCGTTTGAAAACCGTGTAGAAGGATAAGAGGGGAAAGTCTAATCAGACCAACCCGGATTTGTAAAGAGAAGCGCCATCGATCGGTTAACCCGTCAACGATTTTAAACTTCTCGATGTTGCTACGTGAACTTTCGCCTGGAACTATATCAACGGCGGAGAACTTTTTCCTTTCTCATTTTCCATCTTAAGGACTCCAGGAACTTCGTTAATGCCATTGAGCCTGCGACTCCTGTTCGTCGTCTCCATTCTCTGCACCACTTGTTAAAACATTTACGCAGGAAGATCGAGCCTGGGGAGCTCAACGGGAACGAACTGACCGTCGTTCGCGCAAACATCGACTTTCGTCGAGCGAAAGGCACGAAAAAAGTAGAGAACTTGCGATTTATCTATAGTGCATATCATTGATATACCAACCACTTAAAATTCAAAGAAATTGATCTTTTGGGAATGAATGAGACTATAATAGCACTATCTATTTCTAGATAGTACTATAAAAACAAATATTCAAAAGCAGTTTGTTGTAATTAATAGACGGCGGATGTTTATGCCAATAAAATACGTCAAAATATGTAAGTGGTATATATCAAATGTGTATCAATAATATGCTAAAATACCGGGTGTTTGGGAAGAAGATAAGAACAAAATAAGAAGAAAATCAAGAATACTAATTTATTGATGGAGGCTTCGTTAAAAAGTTATTGTAGAATTTAGATATTTAAAGAAACATATGGGGGTGTAAAAAATGAAATTATTCTTATTGTGTTAAAATATCTTTATAATAAATCTTTCATTGAAGTATGTTTTCTCACATTAGGAAATTGTTTTCTGTTTTCTCTTCGAAATTATTTGTAGTATATGTTGGTTTTCTTCATCATTTTTTGATAATAATTGATTGTATTTTTTCCTAAGTTTAACTTCATGTTCAACAATATTTGACTCATGTTTATAATCGTTATCATTTTCCCACGTGTCAGGATCTTTTCTTAAAAAAAAGTTTTTCAGTCAATTTTTGAAATCTCAAAGTTATCATTTTTGTTTAACGCGAACATATATTTCTTTTCTATACTCTTATAGAGCGTAAAAAAGAACGAATTCAGCGATCTGCAAAACTGTATAGAAATTGTGGATTAAAGTGGAGAAAAATGAATTACAAGAATAAAAGATTTTCAAATTCAATTCATACGCCATTTCTTCGTACTGTGGCAAGATTTTAGGGAGCGTAAAAAAAATATTGCACAAAAAATGTTTGCCAAATATAACTAAGGTCCACCCTAATGTATTGCACACACGGAGTACAAAATGTAACATTTAATTTCAATAGAAAGATCGTGCAACATATTTATTTTCAAAATGATATAAAACTATAGAAAAACGTAGCGTTTGCAATTTCTATCACATTTAAGGTAAATAAAAAAGAAGAATAATAACTTCATTTGTACATGATTGAGTACGTAACATTGTTTATTACGTACTGACTTTTAATAAGATGACATAAGATAAATAAAACACAAAATCGCGATACTTATAAGAAAAATACTTATTTATAGATACACTCAAAAGTATGTATAATTTGTATATAATATGTAATCTTTCTACGAATGCGATGAAAATTTTGTAGAAGCATAGCAATCGAGTTATTAAATCGTTGTACTAATTTTGCGCATGGAGTCTGTACTGTAAATCCTTTGTTCTAGAGTTTCCCATAGATAGAAATCAAGAGGTGTAAAATCCAGTTCTCTCGTTGGTTAAAGGACCAATAATTTTCATGCAACCAGTTTCTAACTTGTTCTGCATAGTACGACGTTCAACCATCTAACTGCATCCATCCATTTTAGCTGTACAGTAACGATACATTGTTCGTAAAATTTGATCAACTGTTTGATCAAAATCTCTGAAAATGAGTTCTATTCGTTCATGTAAATGGAAACGGAATTCGTAATTAATACCTATTTGTTACGCTGTATGTAGATTATTATAGTCTCGTGCATATCTATTATGAGAATTGAATATACCTCATTTCGCACAAATCATCTCGCCCGTCCATAATGTCCTTGATGAAAATAAATCGTCATTTTCCACTGCATTTGAATATCAATCACAGGATTCGACTCGTTTTCGATAATCAGTTGAGAATAATTCTTGCATAGTTGGGGCACGATGCGACAACCATTTGTCAGTTTGGTAATATTCTCCAAATACTAGTTCGCGAAATCTGTAATTTAGTTGCTTCGAATACTTCGCGTAGGAGTATCGTTCAAAAAATGTACGATTTTTTTGGCAGCAATCCTGTCATCTTATAACCACGTTCCTAAAACGTTAAGAAACTTTTAATCGCCCCGAAGTTTGTCAATTTTTCGTTTCATTGCGAAAGCAGAGTTATGAAACTACTTTATGATCGACTTTCGCATAATTTGAGAATATACGTTCACATTGCAAAAAGTTGCACGAAGCATCCTTTATGTTCGCGCGTTCCTCCGCCAAAAAAAAAACGGGTTCTCGCTTAGACGGTTTACTCGCTCTGGACGAGCTTCGCCTACTCGATTTTCAGACGGAAAAATTCAGTTGAACTCAACGCAGCATAACGCGAGTCAGGAAAAAGAGCATCCGTAATTCCCTTTTATTCTTCCTGCAGAATCTGCGAAATGTGCAAGAAAAATACGTACCGTTTCCAGAGTTCATTCTCGAAGTATAAAAAATTTATTACAAGTCTATCGTATTCGAGGATCAAAATAAAGACGCCGCTAGACGTTTATATTATTCAACGACTAAACGACGAAGAGGCGTTTCTGTCATTCATAAAGTAAAGAGCGAAATTGGATTTTCTATTATTCAGCTGGTCCAGACGAGTGTTCGCTCTACTATTCATGATGCACGGGGGGAGGGGAACGGTTACTCTCATTGTCGTTTGAAACGAATGTGAAAGTGCGTGATACGTAAACAATTACGGATTAGCAGATACTCCGGCGTAGTTGAGCCGCGTTAAGCGTGTCAATCGACGGCGAAACAATTTTAATCCGATCGTTTATGCGACAACATGAACCGATGAAATCGTACGAATCGATATTTGGAGCATCCAGGAATTCATGTCGCGCTGATCGCGATGCAGTTACATACTCGGCCAGAGCTGTACATTTCGATGGGAGTCTGTATATCGACAGATGCGACAGAACGCGCGCTGATGCGGCGGTTACCTCATCGTCGAATCGAGCCAAGAGGCCAAGGTTAGCTTTATTTCGGACAGGAGTACCAACCTCTGGTATCGTGCCCGAACCAATGCTGTACTCCCATTTCCGCCAACGCCGCGTCGCATCCTCGACGAGTGGAAAAAATGCAAACCGCGCCACCCGTTCGACGACTATGCATTAACACGTTCGTTGCGGCATTCGACACACACTCTGTATAAAATTAACAGTTTTTTGTCCACCTCGCGTTTTGTCCAACTTTATTTCTTTTTCTTGTTATTCAGATTTCATTCGACGCTCATAATCATTAATTGAGCTATTCTTATGATATTTTGTAGGCTTGTAGATTCACAAGTCGGGGAGACCCGGGGCTAGAGAAAACATAAAAAATGACTAGGAAATAATGTAGTTATGTTTTTCACTCCTGACTAATTTATTGTTAAATTTATTATAGTTTAAGATTTTCAGCTCAAATCTAATATATTGCAATAAATTTTTCATAGAAACACGTTTTTTTGTGATTAGTCGGAGCGAAACTTGGGGTAAGTTGTTACTAAAAAATAAGTGTTACTTTCTGGTGAGATATTTCATTCTCTGATGAAGTAAAACACAATATTATTAATAAGGGTTGTTTATTAACTTCACATTAACATAAATGTACAGGGTGTTCGGCTACCCCTAGGAAAAATTTTTATGGGAGATTCTTGACGCCAAAATAAGACAAAAATCAACAATACTATATATATATATATATATTATATATATTAGTATATATATATATATATATACTAATTTGATGATTGAAGCTTCGTTAAAAAGTTATAGAAACGTTTCCGGCCACAGAGTATACTTTCGGTAAAGAATTTTATTCTCAAAAGTATGTATAATTTCTGGGGTATGGGTATTCACCAAAAATGATTGTAATTAGCCCCTGCAACTAAAAATAATTTTTTTTAGAACGATTTGAAATTTTTTAATTTTGTCCAAAATTTGTCTACCTGCTCGAATTTTTTTCTCGGAAGTGGATAGGATTTCGGGGGTATGTGTATTGACAAAAAATGATTGTAATTGACCCCCTCAAAGAAAACTAATTTTTTCAGAAGGATTCGAAATTTTTTTTTAAATTTAGGCACCTACCTGCCGATTTTTCTTAAAAATTCATTTTTAATTTTTAATAATTTTGTTTGACGTCCTATAGAAAAGTTGTCTAATACTTTTTTGTAGGTACCTATGGGCTCTGCTTCAGAAAAGAATTTCAATGAGATACCTTTACTATTGTAGGAGTTATGGTCGTTTGAAAATTGGACCAGCTTTAGGGGGTTTTTCTCACTTTATGGGGTCAGGGGACGACTTTTTCAATATTGTTAGAATTTCTACACATTCTTCACTAAAACATGCGTTATTTGTCGTTTGAAACATTAAAATCCTTCAATCCGTTCAGAAGTTATGCTGTTTCGGCCTGAAATTATATTTTCGGTAAGGAATTTTTTTCTCGAAAATGGTTGGGATTTCGGAGGTATGCCTATTGACCAAAAATGATTGTAATTTACCCCTGCACCTAGAATAATTTTTTTAGAACGACTTGAAAATTTTTAATTTCACCGAAAAATTTCAATACTCGAATTTTCATCAGATGTTTGTGATTCTAAATTCTGGTCCAGATGCAAAATAAAATTGATTTGCTTATATCTCAAACTATGTATATTCTTTTACTGTCGCTTTTTTACTGTTAGTAATTTAAAAAAATAATATAAACTGTCAAAATTTTTAAATCTTTCTACTCGGGTGTTAGAAAGTAACACAATATAGTATGGTTATTAAAAGAAAAAATTCTACGCGTGAGATTCGAATTCAGGACAAAATATTATATTACTAGTTTCTTACACTGGCCACTACGCCATGGATATTCTTCGCCTGGATAGTCTATTATTAGAATATATCATACTAAGCGATTTTTCTAAACATTGCACTTATTTTTTTCATAACTAACTAGCCATCTGTGGCTATAACACCGATTTCGATTGTTGTACATATGAATCTATAAGCCTGCAAAATGTCATTAAAATTGGTGAGGATTAGATCTGACATTCTCGTTGTTAGATATTTGTCCAGGTTTCTTTAGGATAAATTATTTTAATTCGTTTAGAAAATACCACAGTTTTTGAGATTTATTTTTAAACGACGGAAACACTGTTTTCATCTAAATTTTTTACTCAAAACCATTCTAGAATCGGACGAATCGAGTATCGTGAAAGATATATGTATGTTATTTATTATTACTTATTGTACTAAAATCTGTTAATCATCTTCGTTCCTCGTATTGAAAATAAAAAAACTGTCAAATTCATGTTGTGGTAAATATCTCTTTATAGCTTTGATTTTATTGTACAATAGGAAGCAGAAAAACGTGTTTCAAAGACACAAAGGGATATTTTACATTCTACCTATTCAAAAGTTTAGCGACGTTCAGTCGAGTTTTGTATCGTGTATCGTATAATAAGTATGACCTCATGAATAATCTCTGAAGCGACGTGCGCCATTCTACGGCCGAAAGATTCCTCGTCTGTTGAAGAAGTTTCACAATAATTTTAATGCCAGTAGAAGATTCTTTGAAAGTGGAACACCGTTTAACGGTCTGCTAACTCTTCTTCAATTAAAGGCGAAATTATTCTCACGTCTCACCGAATTCAGTCTCTATGGAAACAAAGTTTACAGTATCAAATCAAATTTGAAGCTAAACAAACATCTAAACTTATTATAACACGGATTCTCCGTGTGGTTCCTTGGCATGAGTCGCGAACGTGTTACCACAGACTGTGAAACATTATGAACTAATCGTTTAATCAAACTCGGTAATAGGTATCCAATGGTTCCTAATCTTTTATTTCAAAATTAATCTTTTAATTTTGAGAATTGATTAATCTATCAAGAAGATGCACGAATAATAATTATTTACCACATCGTGACGCAAGAAATATTTGAAATAAAATCCCTTGTTCGTACGAGGATCGTATATTAACCGTAAGCTCAGGAATTATGTATTTCCTTCGCAGGGCAGTCCGTTAGGAGCCATCATGTGAAACTCCGACGAAATATGAAACTTCTACTTTACTACGTGGTATATGACCCTTTCGGCGGTTTTCCAATAGAAAGGACACTCGTAAGCACGGCTTTTGGTCAAATAATACTGAAATCATCGAAACGTACCGTGAGACAGTTACTGAAAATTAAATGTCTCATTTTTTCTAAGTAACTTGAAAAATACTATCATTTTTTATATTTCAGACTTCTCGAATAAAATGTCTTTTCTTCTTAAAGTTTTTAACCCTGCATATCAACACTCGCACGGTTATCGTTAAAATGGTTACTCGGACAGCGATGGCGGGGTCTTTTTAGACCCATATCTTGCATTTTTCAATACCTATATATTTAGACTCTTAACCTATAATAATGTAGAATTACTTGTTTTACCCCCTACATTATATATTTTTGAATTTTATTAAAAGAATATATATTTTATTAAATTCTTAAAATACCAATGAAATATAAAGAGTCGCAGAGTGCATAACGTATACCAGAAACATTAATGTTTTCGAAAATAGGGGAAAAGAATGAATGTAAGTCAACCATTAATCCATACGTATTTTTAAGAACTATATACACTTTACAAATATGTGCAGTTCAATGGTATTACTTTCTATCGGGCACTACAGTATCAAAATCGAGAACGTTGAAAAGTAACACACACATACAATATACAATATAATATTAAGAAACTAAATAAAAATATGTTCGTAAGTTAGTATCGAATTCGTGGAGTCGTGCGCTATTTTTTAAAATAAAATTCCTCGAATACAATTGTTCGATTGTAAAGCTTCTATAATAACAGTTACGTAAAGTATAACCAACAAGTAACGTTCTAATTGTTTCAGTACATGTCACCACATATGTAGAGCTTCTCTGAATATATTATGGTTTAAAACGTTTGACAATTTCCTCTTTGAGCAAAGTGAGAATGCGACGTTCACGGAACAGTGTCGCTTAATTAAATGTTGAATGGACAACGACAAAGGAAGAAACAGAAGGTGGAATGCCTCGCAATTCGATCAATGTTTCGTGTCGACAAAAGCGTGTTGGTTAAAAACTCGTCCACTATTTTCTGTTTTTCCAAATGGAACGTATAGTAACAAGTGTACAGTCAAAACAAACAGGGATGTAAAGCTATATACCAGACCAAAAAGAAAAAAAATGAATAAAGCTTGTCAAATATTTTGTAGACGAATTTGCTGAAAAGTGTTGTTTGTTTATTCAAACCAATCTAAACTGAGTGTCAAACGGAAAATATCAAATTGTGAAAATGATTTTGTAATAATTGCCGTTTTTTTATTCGATAATTTTAGTGTTTCATTTCTTCTATTAAAATTTCTGTTGAAAGGTCAAATAAATTTTACATGCAATAAATATGTTATTACGAATATGAATTATTCTTTAGTTATATGTTTATTATTATAATTATTCGATGCTTTTTCTGATCAATACTTCAATATACTATTGACTGACTAAATGAAGAAGTTGGAATACATTATGTATGGAATATTAATTAACATTAAATTTCGCCCAGGTCAGCAACATTGTTTCTGTGTGCTCGGCAACCAGTCTAAATTCGTGAACATCAAACTGTACGATGTTAAACCTGCCAATCAGCACTTTAAGTTCAGTGACCGTTAAGGCTTGCTTTAAAGATACGTAATAATTTAAGCTTAAGGATAATTAAACATGTTGACTGTTCGTTGACCCATTTGTAGGTCAAAACGACCGACACAGCCTGAATATAAAATAATTCTTGCCCGCAGCAACAATTTCAGAGACATTTAAAATGAATCGTACTTAGTCAAGAAAAACGAATATTTATTATTACGAAAATTTCATCGTACCTCTGGATGTTCATCTCGTATAAAAAGTAAATGATCGTTTATCTTCCATTTCGTTATTCCAAAATATCCAGATAGGAGTTTTGTTAATGCCTGATTGCTAAGTAACGATTAAAATACGTCTGTGTTATTTTAAGAAATCTGAAGGTAATAAAAATATTGAATTTGAAACGTTAAGTATTTTACTTGTAATGTGATCGTTGACACGAACAACGGTGTATCGATTGTATTTTACAGATTTAATAAAGACTGCGTTGAACGGAGAAAAGCTCATTGTCCTATTGTCGGCAAGGGATGAACTTTGGGTATCA